GCCATGCGCACGCCTGTTCTCACTTTTAGGTGACATTGTAAATAAGAAGCGGGCAGCATTGTCTCCTGTAAATGTAAACAAACTTGTTTGTCTTTAGCGATTGGCTGAACAAGAAGTAGGACTGAGGGGACTTGTAGGGTCTAAAGTTTTACACTGTTTTGTTTTTGAGTGCAGTTATGTAGCAAAAAAAAAATCTACATTTGTAAGTTGCACTTTCACGCTAAAGAGATTGCAGAACAGTACTTGTATGTGATGAATTGAAAAATACTGTTTCTTTTGTTTATCATTTTTACAAATATTATTTTGCAAATATTTGTAATAAAAATAATATAAAGTGAGCACTGTACACTTTGTAGTCTGTGTTGTAATTGAAGTCAATATATTTGAAAATGTAGAAAAACATCCAAAAATATTTAACAAATTTTAATTGGGAAGCTATTGTTTAACAGTGCAATTAAAAGTGCGATTAAAACTGCAATTAATTTTTTTAAGTTAATCGTGTGAGTTAACTGCAATTAATTGACAGCTCTAGTTAAAAGTATAAGTGACATGAATCTAAAAAATGACAAATACCAAGCTATATGGCAATAAAGTCTCATAATTTTTTTTAACAGACTCTCTCTGGTATGCCAGGGTGAGTTCTGCTTTAAAAACGGATGAGACAATATTGCCCTGCAAGATTAACTTAACCAAGCATCCATTAAATACTTGTATTTAATGGATGCTTGGTTAAGTTAATCTTGCAGGGCAATCTTTAATCAAAAGATGACAGCTGAAAAAAATCCTATTTATTTTACAATTAGTTAGATAAATCAGTCCAGGGGAAGAATTTATTTATCAGTGAGTGATTGAGGAATCTAGAAGTTTGTTTTCCTGTTTTAAAAAGACTTTCTAATATCTTTAACCAAGGAAAGGGCTTCAACACTTTGTGACAAAAAGAGCCCTTGGCTGAAAATATTTATATTTTGTTAGTTAAAAAATATTGAATATATTGACAGTCTAGCATAGGGGTAGTCAATAGGCCCCCACTTGCTCTGGCCCAGGGCCCCACAAAATGGTAATCCACCTCTGGTCATGCTAATCCTGCAAGTGATGATGCAGTAGGTCAAACACACACATACATCATGCCCTTGTGGAACTCTGTTCAAGTTAACAGGCACAGGGGTCCATCCATACAGAGTAACTTGCAGGATCAGGGCCAAAGCCACACCATTTTTCTAGCTATGACTCTGAGCCAGGGCCGGCTCCAGGCATCAGCCCAGCAAGCAGGTGCCTGGGGCAGCCAACGGAGAGAGGCGGCACATCCGGGTCTTCGGGGGTAATTCGGCGGCGGGTCCCTCACTCCCTCTCAGAGCGAAGGACCAGCCGCCGAAGACTGAAGCGGCGGCGGCAGAGCTGATCGCGATCACGGCTTTTTTTTTTTTTTTTTTTCAGCTGCTTGGGGCAGCAAAAACCCTGGAGCCGACCCTGCTCTGAGCCTGCAAAGACGTACACATGGGCTTAGGTTTATGGATTGTGAGGGGATTCCACAAAGGTCATTTCTTTAAATAAACATGTGTGTTTAATTATGAATAATGTCATTCATTCAGGAAACAAACATCATGTAACTATAACAAAGTGTATATGCCCAGTTAAAAAAAAACTGCAATTCTCTGATAATTACTTCTGGTTATCCAGGGAAATTCAAATTTTATTCTTACTTAGAACAGGGAATATTATATTGCAGTAAAATTATTTACTTTTCAAACTTTTCAATTGCTATTTTAAAGACTTCTTTGTTAATGAAAAAGATACCTGTATTTGAATGCAAATTTTCAAATACACATTAAGTGTATTTAAGTGGCCAGTCCCCATGATCAGGTGTTCAAATAAACACAGGTGTGTTTATTTAATGTGCTGTTACTGAATATAGACATACACAAGTGTGTGCATATATATATGGAACCCCACACTTCACATGTATGCTTACAGCTAAATCCTGGCATGATAGTGCACTCAGAGAAAGCCCACAGCAGTAGGGGGAACATGAGGAAGAAGAAAACCACAAGCCCACCTCAGCTTCCCACCACCACAAAAAACGAAACCAAACCCTAAGCCAAACAACCCCATGAAGCAGCATTCCAGGGTGGAGTCTGGCATAAATCTAAAGTCAACAGATGTGTGTGTGTGTATGTCTCCTGACCCAACAATTGTCCTTATTCACACGTGTTCACACAGAGATTATTCATCCTTCTGGCAGTAAAGTGGGGTGAGAGGAAACAAGACTGTCAGCTAAATATGGGTGTACATTACTTGTGTAGCAGGAGTGTACCTATTTGGGGGGGCATTATGCATTGGTCTAGAAATTAGCAGGGAATGTAAGAAGTTTTATGTGTACAGGACTATAGTCAGATGTTCCTAACTTTATTTCTTAACCCAAAATTGTCAGATTGGCAACATTTTCCATGGAGGGCTTCCTACTTATTACAGCTGACATTTTAAAACAAAACTATTTTTGGAATTACCTGAACAAAAAAAGGTTTTTAGTTTTTGCTCAGTTTTAACATCTGAAAAATAAATTCCTTATGCTTGTGCTTTGGGTGTGTAACTCAATGCTGAGTAATGGCTGAGTGGATTCTCACTGAAATTTACAATGACACTAACTTCTAAACTAAGCAGCATAAGAAACTTAATGGTCAACTTCAGTCCAAAATTTAATTTTTCTGAAAATTATAAGCAACTGAAAATAGGGGGCTCTCACCAAGGAAGTGACAACTCAACTATGTAAGCCTCCTCTAAAAATCACCAACCTAGTTATACACACAAGTTTAATAAAGAATATAAGAATAATTCTGAGGGACATATTCCAGAGTAGACTTTCCTTATGAACATGGAACAGAAAATTATTTGAGGGTGGCTGTGAAGAAGAATGGAGAAAGAACACCACATAATACCACATCAGATGACTTACTACATCAATCATGACCTTTATTCACAACAACAGTATATGTTCAGAAGAGTACCGGCACACTTGCAAACCCAATACCAGACTTGACAGTCCATCCCTTTTTTTCCGCATGATAAGTTATGTTTCAGGATATTTGTCATAAAGCCCTATTTTTTTCCAGGACTGATTTAAACAGAAGCTGAGTTTCAGTAGAATGTATGCCATACAGCTGTGCTGCAGCCTGTTCACAGCCACTTCATCCAATCTTTGGGATGGTGGTTGCAGCCCTTCTCTGCCTACCAGGCATTAGATCCCTCTTCACTGAATCTGTTTGTTATTAGTATTCCTAGTACATCATAGGCATAGATCTAGTAGTTACTGTCCAGGCTGGCACAGAACACTCCCTTATGCCAGCATGGAGAAGGTGCTAATGGGGAAGATGGCACAGCGGGGATGCCTAGCTCTCTCTCCACAAAAGGGATGAAGTTAATCAAATTAGGAATGTTTGGCTCCAGTTAACAATAGTGCAGTTACTTTTATTTGCATTTGTTTTTCAATAACCTCCACAGTTTTAGAGGGCTACATTCCATAAAAACATAAGCAGTATCTGACATACTCATGAATCAGGCCGTGAATCCATGACTCTACTGCCTATTTACATTTGCATTAACATACAGATCAATCAACATGGTAATATAATGCAAAAACCTGATCATTTATAAATGTATAGATCTTTTAGAAATGTTCATATGTAACTTTTATCAAGAATGCTTTTAAAAAGTAATATGCATGCTATATTTAGCCTTGGAGGTTCACACTAAATTCAGAAGGTCATTTTCTTTATGCCCATATTATTTCTGCTTTTATGTCATGTTTTAGAATCAGGGACATGAATGATTCAGGAACTAAAATTTCCTACATGATATCTGGAATTGATTAATGATGACAAGGGGGCTGAAATATTGTGAGACCATCTGTCACTGTTTACCAAGTAGACAAGTCATAACAGGCAGAAATAGTCAATATAGCAAAAATTATTCCAATGGGCTTAGTATGGCCAGTGCTAATCTATACTTTGAACAAACAGAGAGATTTGCTAAGTGTGGTCTAAACTGTAATGAAATTTGACCCAATACAGTAAATTAATGGTGGTTTAAACATAATGAGACAAAGCCATTAAATAGGAACTTTGTGCACCATAAACAACATTGCATTGAACCAGAACCTGAAACAAAAGTCATTTACTGCATATAGAAAAATTCTGAAAAAAATAAATGCAAGGTTGTATTACATTTGTCTGATTTTTCAATATGCAATAAAATCAATTATTTTAATAAATTAGTAAGACTGAATGTAACAGAAATAGAAATGGTGGTATTACATTGTATAACTCAAGTTTCTTTATGAATGAATACTTCATTGCATATAAACAGTCCCTATATATGGACTATTTATTTGATGTGTTATATATCTAAGACAACATAACAGAAACACACATGTAAATACTTTCTCACTAATTTACTTCTTCAATTTCATTTTTATGCACAAGCACAATAAGTGGTTCAGATGGCTCCAGAACTGTACAAATCCCTAATTAACACAAAAGGAACATATTGTAAGCCCCTTACATCACACACTGGTGAGCAGTTACGCACTCAAGTAGTCTCCATTGACTTCAATGGAGCTAACTCCTGAAAGTAGCTGCTCCAAAATAGTAAGAAGTTCACAATCTATGAAACTACATTTCCTTACAAATGTATGCAGAAATCCATTTTAAAAAAGTAACACATATTACAAGTTTAAGCTTTTTCCAATGCTACCTCTCTCAATCCTGAAAACAAAAAGGATATAAAATAATTTAAGAAAATGTTCATCACGACGAGTATAGTTTCACCAAAGACACATGAAATATAATATAGTAAGAAAAACTCCAACCTGCTCCATCATGCCTGCCCAACATCCCTCCCCCTATTAGTGCTTATGACTTTTAGGGAGGAGCTTAAACACAGTGCAACTTGACTTAACAAGGGAACAAACAGTATAAATACCTCAGAAGGATACTTGAAATAACAGCTTCTGTTCTGCGCACCTGTGGCGGAAGAGCACCTCAGTAGGCTACTGAAAGGCTACTACATATTTGGAACTCTACACTATTCTGGTATGCTATAATTTCATTCCATTTCATTTGGCTTCCAATTTAAATTAACCATAGGTCTGACAGAATTCAATTTTAATTATTTTTTCCTAAATTTTGATAGATATTATCTATGTTCATTTTTTCCTATTTTTATTTATTTAAATTTTCAGTTGGGCAAAATTAAGGGTTTTAAGCAATTTTTTTCAATTGTCATGGATTTAAATGTTCACAGTTGCAGGAAATTAGGGGGGGTGTAAGACAATAGTACAGTCAGACAATTTAATGACAGGTGTTGAGATTCAAAAGATTAAAGCTTTATAACCATTAAAATAAAAACTGTCAATATCACATGTCTAAATATACAAAGTTAATATCCTTAAATCAAACTTTGGTAAGTTTTCAAGCAGCATTTTTCTTATCTTGCCTATCTGCAAATTTTGATTATTATCAATGGAAATATGTTTTCATCAGTTGGTGTATGTATGGCGAAATCAACATTTATCAATAAAAATCTAATCCTTCCTTATACAGGACAGAAGTTTACTAGGGCTCTTTAAGAGCAAGTGCCAGTATCCCTGCTGCCACAAGGGAAATTACTTCCAAAGGCTAAGGGTGAAATCTTGGCCCCAATAAAGTCAATGGGGGTTTCACTATTGATGTCAATGGGGTCAGGATTTTACCCTTTATAGATACAGCGTTAATTAGAAGGAGGCGATGCTGCCATGTTGCAATGCATATGAGAGACTTTTCCCTGATTCTAGAGGATTCAAGCTATGCTCCCAAACCTAGTTTTGGAAGCCTCAAGGGGCTGGCGTGCCCATAACATTATAGAACCTAATAGCAAACTGACACTTTTTTTCTGAAAAGAATTTAAATTGTTACATATTTTAATATGCTGATAATATTTAATACAAAATTTAAAAAACTGTTGATTGGAAGAGTATGGGACAGAATCTGATCTGGTAAGATTACAGATTTTATATATCTATACTTTTAAAAAGTATTTAAAACATTTAACCACTTTCTCTGACTAAAATAGGTATACTTTAAGAAATCCACTAGAAATACATAGATTTGGGAGCAGTTTTGTATAAAGCAGTACTGAACCTGTAACGTTAACTATTTTAAATACAACTTATTTGTTCATTGCTGCAAAACCTGAACTGATCAACTTATTTTTAAAAAGAGAACAATCATTTGCATAAGTATTTTTCCTCTTTAATGCAGAACAGATTGGGGAATATGCAGGTACAAATATCCTTTCTGCTGCTGCTTTCTCTGAACATTGTCCATGGCGGTGATGGGTTTTTTTCTGAACGATACCAAAAACAAGCCAGCATGAAGGGGCCACATTTCTTACCATTTAACGTAAAAAGTCAAGGTAAGTGAAATATCTTTTAAAAAATATTATAAGCAGTTATACCCTATGTGTGTTCATTACAGTACAGATAATCTCTCTTGTTGTTTTACTGTTGTTCACTGTCAGCAATAACTGTTTAGTTTTATAAATGGCTATATAGTATTGACCAAGATTATCACTGCAGACAGAAATGGGACAGGTTCTGACAGTAATGTCTAGAGAGAGAGAAGATGCTACTCTCTTGGCTGAGAGGAAGAGGGAAACTCCCATTTTATAGTACAACAAAATAAGAAGAGGTAGAGAGCATGCGAGCAGCAGTGATTTTGAATTTTGCCATTACCATTTAGAATACTCTTGAAGCATATATATTCATATATAAAAACTTGCTCAGTGCTCATCCGTGCTCTTGACCTGGGAATGGCTTTCAGAAGAAGCAATCAAACTGGACACATCAATAAAAAATAACTGGGGGTTACATTAATAAATCAGCTGGCTGCAATATTCAGACAAAAATGTAGGTGTCCAATTCTACTGTTACATTAGTTTCCTTACTTAAAATTCAACGATTGTAAAAGCTAGTAATGCTGAATATTAATCCAGTATATATGGACCAAATTTAGATCTCTGTTCCACATTTGTAAACCGAGAGTAACTTCACTGAACTAATCTGAGTTACAGTGATGGAAGTGAGATAAGAAAATAACCCTATAACATAACTGCTAGAGAATAATACACATCTTTATTAAAACAGACTAATTTAAACACCTGAAATATAAATTGGTTTTACAAAGATGCTTCTGAAACATGCTTAATTATAGCTGCTCTATAAAAATATTTCTTTTGAACAGGTCATATATTTCTCAACTCATTTCACACACACTTTGAGGGGATTATTATAAGTATGTATTTTCCTCTCTCCTGTGTATGAAGTGTGTGATTATAGATAATATATATTAAAACCACTATAGAAAAGATATATGAAAGCCCTCTTTTTTTAAAGTGTCTGTTAAATTGAAACAAGCATTCAGTACTAACAATCAAAACAACGTTCTTGAGTCATCTCTAGCATGCAGAAACTAATCTATTAATGCTCTCCAAATTGTTGACAAATTTCACATCAGATAACTAGGTATAGAGTATAACTGGTTTCTATAAAAGCATGATTTCTGAAAAAATGAAATTATGAGTACACTGAACTGAACACCATTAATACATCTGGCTGTGCTACTGTTACTACAGTGTGTGTTTTATATAAAACAGCAAGTTCAGTCAATGCAGCTGGGAGCCATGCACAAAGATCCAGTACTTTTAAAATCATCTATGCCAAAATGTTTTGTGTCCTAGCTGCATACGCGACATACAAATAGTTTTGAAGAATAAGACTAAAATGAGCATGATATTTAAAAACCACAATGGATCATCAGAATCCAATAAATCAAGTTTTATAATTGATTCTACATATTACTCACTGGTATTTTCTCCTCAGTGGAGATTTTTGCTAAAAATTAACTGATAAAATAAAAGAGTAGCTTTCTTGTATCCACATGATCATTTAGGACCCAGTCCTGATCAGTACCCTCAAGTCAAATCCTATTATCCTCAATGTGCATTGAAAGTACTGAACACTTCCTGTCAAAGCATTTAGTACCTGGCTGGATTTTCAATTCTGCTGCCAGAAAATGCCCAAAAAGACAGAAGTGACCATTCTTTTCTTTCCTACTGTACCAAAGGGTGCATTCAGAGTAGTTTTTAATCTTTGTTATAGCTCACCTACATGTAGCTGTATACTTGTGCAGGAACGTGGCAGTTGCAAATAAGTGTTGTTTGAGATCAGGAAAGCAATCTTGATCATAAATCCTTCCTGCTATCAGTAAAAAGTTGTCTTAAAGTCTTTGTTTTCAGCATGAGTATTGATTGGTGTCCTGTCTGCTACTGTACCCTCAGTCTGAGCATTGACTTGTTTTTGTTTTGTTTTTTCCAAGTGGCTTAGACATTTTATTTTTAAAAACTCATTTTTAAAATAATTTAAATGCAAAACACACCAAGTTGTTTGCCCTGTGACCAAAAAAAAATGTTGCTCATGACTTTTAAATTTCTGTAATGAATAGACATACAGCTGGTGATTTAACTTTCACTAACAGACACACCCACTGTGCTATGTTTACAGTCCAGATTTTCACTGACTTGTCATTGGGTTGTCTCTAGAATTTACTTACCAAATAATAATGCCCCTCAAGAAAATGAATAAACAGTCTATCATTCAATTTGCTGTTTGTTTCACGAACAGTGTCTTGCTAGTTATCCTTGTTGGGAAGGACTTACTTCACAGAACCCAAGATACACTTCTGTTTTAACTTATCCCAGTAGCTGTTCAGTAGCAGAAACTCTCAATTCTGTGATCTTTAGTCTTTCTCTGTAAAAGCAAGACAGATAAAAGACAGGACAAGACCACCTTCTTCACTTCCTCAAGTGGACGCACTCATTCTACCAGATCTGTCATGATGGTCAAAGAGAGCTGCCTCTGTAATCCATGGGGTGAGGACTCCATGGGATTTGGTTAGAGAATGGAGTGGTAGGGTAGGGAGAGTCCCAGGGCAGAAAAGAATGGAACAAGGGATCGGCTACTGTCCATGGCGTCTTCCCTTACTCATTTTTTGGTATGAAAATGCTACAGATTTTTGTATGAAAATACTGCTTGAAATAGGATTTTAGGCAGTCCTTTGGAATGTATTTCCCCATCTTCCCTACTTGCAAACTTGAATTATTCCTGTCCACTTTTCTCATTACTATGCAGACAGTCAACCTCAGGATTTTGAGCAGAGTCAGAGACGTGTTTTTTTCTGAAACACCCCAAATTTTACCTATTAATTTACATAAAAAATGACTGGAGACGGTAGGGAGTGGAAAAGGAGGAGGCAAATATTTAGGTCCCTCCCAACTTCTAGGACACAGAAGTAGAACCTAGATAATTCTTCCTTCCCCACCTATCACTCTGTTAATCTTAATTTATATTTCCCAGTCTTATTTTTTTTTAAATCCACAGCTCTGGCTCTTCTTCACTGGAAATGTCAGTAAAATCTGTTAACAAGGGGCATGTGTAAACCCCAATCTGCTCATTGGTGACAAATAACTATTTTTCTCCATAATTTTATTTTAGTAGTTGATTCTAATAATGATGGGTGGGATTCTGAAAAAGAACTCAGTGTCGGCATAACTCTGGTCCCACTGAAGTCAATGGAAGTTTTACCATCCACTTCAATAGGAGCAGAGTTGGGCGATGTTAGAAATTCTTTTCCAAATCCCACTCATAACAACTTCCCAGGCAGAGAACATACTTTTCTCCTCTTTTGAGTGTGTTTAGCATTATCATTTGCTAAATATATTATGATACTATTTGCAGAACTTTGGTTCACAGCTTTGAAGTCTGCAAAATTCCTGGTTGAGGACAACCACACAACTAATTCTAAAAAAAAAAAAAATCTCAATCTTGCTGGTTGTGCTTTCTCCTCACACTGAACTTGATATGTAAACAAGGTCTGGCTAGAGTCAGAGTACACAGACCACGTTGTGTGTCAGAAAATACATGACAAGATTTTTTTTTTTTTTTTTTTTTTTTTAAAGTGGCCAACCAACACTTCAGTTATCCTGGTTAAAGCTATTGCTGCCCATAATCTTTTCACCTGCCCTGTTCTACCATGGTTTAATACACCTTCCCTTTACAAAACAGAAGGACTGAGATTTTAAACAGACATATTAACTTTGAAATTAGATTTAAGAAGAGGTCCTGGCTTGGCAATGTTACATTTTCCAAACTCCAAATGCAAAGAGATGGGTAACACATAAGATCCTAACAAGGGTAAATGAATGAAGTAACTGCACACACTGCTTCCTTCTAGGTTCTTAGTGGGGTAGGATTTTTTCTACCCTTCTAAACCTCTGTGTAAAGAAAATATCAACCTTCTCAGGTCCACAAATATGCCTCCTTTAACTATTGCATTGCCAAATGCAGCTACATTCTGTGAGGGGTTAACAGGGCTTAAATTCTCACAGAGTATTTCCCGGAGCCCCAGGGCTTCAGCCCTGCAGGACGTCAGAGCTTCCACGGGTTTGAAAATATTCACCAGAGCTATGCTCCAGATGGCGCTGGTTAAATTTAAGCCCTGGGTGGTAGCATTCCATTGGCAAGTCTATACAAGAGCTAAAATGTTGCCATGCAGCTAGTGCGTTGAGCATCACTGGAAATGTATTTTGGTCACCGTTCAAAAAGTCAACAATTGCCAACAGATGCCATATAGTTATCCCAGTTTTCCCCCTATACTATACTTGGAGTAGGAGACGTGAGATACTTGAATGATATCTGCTGACAAAATGCTGATTTTTTTAAACACTTTCTGCTTAAGTCAACAAATCCCTTGCCTTTCCCTAGAGGATGCACTTAACCAATTTTTAGATACATGTGTCTATCATTCCTAAGGATTTGTACAGAACTTACTGACCTGAATTTGTTACTGGGAATGGCAATGCTCCCAAGTAAACTATCGCCTAACATGGCCCTCTAGGGGAGTGGGTGGTGGAAAAATCATATGTTCTGATTCACATCAGCAAACCAAGTAACATTCCACTAAGGGGTGTGGAGAGCCAGCTCTGAGTGTTAAATGAAGACAAGGGTCTATTTCATCTAACTTAGACAAATAAAGGAGAATCAGTGATTTCATGGTATGAAAGTGTAGCACGGTGAACTGAGTATTGACCCTTTATGGGAATTAAATTCACTTGGCTCAGCTCTTAAGATATAGTATACATTTCACCTGGTGGGCCTGCACTGAGCTTCCTTGAATTACAGTCATTTGGAGAGCAGACTTGGCCAGAGTCATAGTCCACACTGCCAAACTGCCCTCTTTATATACCTTATTTACTCTTTTGGATTCTACTACATTTAAAGGTAGAATTCATGTAGTTAGAGAGGAGGTTTACTTCTTTTTTTCCCCTGTGGTTGCTCAACAATAATTTGAACACCATAT